ACTGAAAACCTTTAGTTAAATCAGGTGTTTATAAGGCAATATAGAGCAGTTCTCAAACTAGTTAGTGATACAAAGTTAAGTGGCCAAGCACACCAGAATGGAGGGGGAAAGCCTGTGTATAGCACTAGGCTTACAATAAGCCAATACAAAAAAAAATATTCTTAAGTTGTATTCTTTCATGATTTATGAAGGCTTGGCACAAAAGCCTACTAAAAAAGTGATTTATAAAGTGATATTTAATCTTTACATTATTCTACCAACAAACAAACCTAAGCAACATTTAGTAAGAAATTTTAATATAAATTTTACTTCATCAAAGAGTATTAAGGAGTCTAAATGCATATAAAGATATAAAAACAACTACACATTCTGCCCTCGCTGGTGTGGCTCAGTGAATTAATGCAGGCCCATGACCAAAAGGTTGCTGGTTCAATTCCTAGCCAGGGAACATACCTGGGTTGCAGCCCAGGTTCCCCAGTTGGGGGTGTGCAAGAGACAACCAAATGATGTATCTCTCACATTGATCTTTCTTTCTTTCTTTCTTTTTCTTTCTTTCTTTCTTTCTTTCTTTCTTTCTCTCTCTCTCCCCCCGCCTTCCATTCTAAGAATAAATAAAATCTTTTTTAAAAATTACGCATACTAACTTAACTTGTTTTCTTTTTCTTTTATTGATTTTAGAGAGAGAGGGGAAGGGAGGGAGAAAGAGAGTAAGAGAAACAATGATGTGAGAAACACTAATCAGCTGCCTCCTGCACATGCCCCAACCCTAGTTGGGGAACCTAACCTGCAAACCAGGCATGTGTCCTGAGTGGAAATTGAACCCACGACCTTACAGTTTGCAGGAGACACCCAACCAACTGAGCCACACTGCCAAGGGCTTAAATAACTTGTTTTTAACTTCTGGGCTCAAGGCACCACAAAACCTGAAATAGTACTATTGATTCAAGTAAGATAATTTGTTAAGGAAAGTTATAAAGAAGAAAATTAAGGACTTCTGGCCAAGAGGGAGACATAGGTCGATACACAGTGCCTCCTCACAGAACCAAAAGAAAGTCAACAACAAATTTAAAAACAAAAAACAACCAGAAATGACAGAAAAATCGAACTGTACAGAATTCCAACATCCAAGGAGTTAAAGAAACATTCATCCAGAATGGCAGGAGGGGTAGAGATGAGCAGGAGGTAGGGGTAGAGATCCCGGCAAGACTGCAGCAGGCAGAGCAGGTAAACCGAGAGGAACAACATGGGAACAAGACAGACCTCACAACCTAGGGTTCCAGTGAGGGGAAATAAAGCCTCAAAACCTCTGACTAAAAAAACCTGTGGGAGTTGAGGCAGTGGGAGAAACTGCCAGCCTCACAGGAGAGTTTGTTGGAAAGACCTACAGGGTCCTAGAATGTACACAAGTCCACCCACCTGGGAATCAGCACCACAAGGGTCCAATTTGCTTGTGGGTAGTAGAAGAAGTGACTGAAAGTTGACAGAGAGCTGAGCAGGCCACATTGTTCACTCTCCAACCCCTCCCTCATATACTGAGGCACAACACAGCCAAATGGGTTGCCCCACTTTGGTGAATACCTAAGGCCCCACCCCTTACTATGTGACAGGTCCTCCAAGACTTAAAAAAAAAGACCCAAAGGAAAGAACAGATCAAAGCTCCAGAAAAAATAGAACTAAGCAATGAAAAGATAGCCAACCTATCAGATGCAGAGTTCAAAACACTGGTAGTCAGGATGCTCACAGATTTTGTTAAGTATGGTCACAAAATAGAAAAAGTGAAGACTATGAAAAGTGAAATAAAGGGAACCAACAGTGAAGGAAAGAAAAATAGGACTCAGATCAACAGTTTGGATCAGAAGGAAGAAATAAACATTCAACCAGAACAGAAAGAAGAAACAAGAATTCAAAAAAATGAAGAGAGGCTTAAGAACCTTTGGGACAACTTCAAACATCCCAACATCAGAATCATAGGGGTGCCAGAAGGAGAAGAGGAAGAGCAAGAAATTGAAAACTTACGTGAACAAATAATGAAGAACTTCCCCAGTCTGGCAAAGAAAATAGACTTCCAGGAAGTCCAGTAAGCTCAGAGAGTCCTAAAGAAGTTGGACCCAAGGAAGCACACACCAGTGAACATCATAATTAAGTTACCCAAGATTAAAGATAAGGAGAGAATCTTAAAAGTAGTAAGAGAAATGGAGATAGTTACCTACAAAGGAGTTCCCATAAGAGTGTCAGCTGATTTCTCAAAAGAAACCTTATAGGCAAGAAGGGGCTGGAAGGAAGTGTTCCAAGTCATGAAGGGCAAGGACCTACATCCAAGATTACTCTATCCAGCAAAGCTATCATTTAGAATGGAAGGGCAGATAAAGTGCTTCCCAGATATGGTCAAGTTAAAGGAGTTCATCATCACCAAGCTCTTATTATATGAAATGTTAAAGGGACTTATCTAAGAAATGGATGATCAAAAATATGAACAGTAAAATGACAACAAACTCAACTATAAACAACTGAACCTAAAAAAACAAAACAAAACAAAAAACAAACTAGCAAACAACAAGAACAGCAACAGAATCACAGAAATGGAGATCACATGGAGGGTTATCAGCAAGGAAGGGGAGGAGGGGAATGGGAGAAAAGGTACAGGGAGTAAGCAGCATAAATGGTAAGTACAAAATAGACAGGGAGTGGGGGTAGGAATAGTATAAGAAATGTAGAAGCCAGCCCTGGCTGGTGTAGCTCAGTGGATTGAGCGCGGGCTGTGAACCAAAGTGTTGCATGTTCGATTCCCAGCCAGGGTACATGCCTGGGTTGCAAGCCATGACCCCCAGCAACCGCACACTGATGTTTCTCTGTCTCTATCTCCCTCCCTTCCCTCTCTAAAGATAAATAAAATCTTAAAAAAAAAAAAAAAAGAAAAGAAATGTAGAAGCCAAAAAAGTTACATGTACAACCCATGAACATGAACTAAGGTGGGGGAATGCTGGTAGAAGAGGGGGTGCAGGGCAGAGAGGACTAAAGGGGAGAAAAAATTGGGACAACTGTAAGAGCATAGTCAATAAAATATATTTTAAAAATTAAGAAGGCAACAAATTACTTAGGCATTGACACTCATCTTTGAGTATGTTTATAAATAAAATGTGAACCTGATCTACATCTGTGTTTGCATACCATGAGTCACCTGAGAGGCTTTTTAAAATAGCCAGGTCCCTCTCTTCACATCCTCTGAGGTAGCATCCAGGCATCTGGGGTTTGGCTTTAACTCCCCAACTGCTTCTGATGCTGAGCCAGATTTTGGAACCATTGTATCAATGACCCTCAAGGTCCCTTTCTTATCCATGACTGAAAAATTCCAAACTGAAAATTCTGTGTCAAAAGAACTGAATATAATAGCACTTGGTTAACATACTGCATAGCAGCCAATATCACATTCTACTGAGGTAAAGAAAGCATCCTTAACGTGTCTGAGCAAATATAACAGGGGCCATTCATTCAAAACACTGACTCGGTCTCCCAACCCTCCTCCCCAAACACTTCTCTAACTTAGGTTCTATTAAATTTCACAGTGGTGAATGTTCTTCTCTCGAATACAGAGAAAAGCATCTCATCAGGCTCACCCACTCAAAAGGATTCAAGTTCCTGTGGTTATCCTCTGCAAATATATTTTTAAAAATCCTCACCCAAGGATATGTTCATTGACTATAGAGAGAAAGGAAAAGAGGGAGGGAAGGGGGAGAGGGAGGAGAGAAAGAGAGAGAAACATCAATTTGTTGCCTCCCCTACGTGCCCCCACAGGGGATTGAACCTGCAACCTCTTGTTATACAGACAATGCTGTGACCAACTGAGCCACTGGCCAAGGCCTCTGCACATTTTCAAACTAACATGAAATGTTTTGGAGGCAGAGCAAAGGGGTCCTCAGAAATAGGTGCAATGAATTCCTTCTAAAGTGGGCCAAGGTGTACATGAAACCCCTCCTAGGTTTTCTCCTAAAGTTATTTTTAGTAAGGAACAAAAGTAATTTGGGTCATTCCTCATATACTAATAATGTTCTACCAATAAGCATGAACCATCTGGGTGGCTAGGAGACTGATTTCTTCCTAATGCTGGCCTACCCAAAACAGAAACTTGTGTGGTTACACAAGATCCTAGCATCTTCTTTGGCACACCTCTCCATACTAAGCTTAGTTATTCTGGACAAAAGACATAATTAGGAACCTACCATTTAGTGTCCCGGATATTCTTAAACCGAGTTTAACTAGATTCCCAAAACATCTCATGATTAATTTAACGTTCTTCATTGCGTTGAATTCTCCTTACTAATTTATATAGGTATAAAAAAAAAACTCCACTTTACACGTCGAAGTGCCTAGCACGAGATTAAAATTACTACCAAATGGCAGGCTAGGATCTCAACTCAGCTCTTCAAGCTCTAAATTGAAAACCCTTCCCACATCCGTCCTCTCCCAATGGCGTGAGCATACAGTGGCACTGGGGTTGATACTTCCTACCAAACAGAAAATCACGTCTCCCACCACCCTAATGCTCAATTGTGCCATACCCATTCACTAGAACAGGGTCCCAGGAGTGAGAGGAAGAAACCAAAGGGCAGAAGGAAGCAGAACTGTCCGAACAAATAAAAATCCTTGACTTCCAAGACGGCAGGGGCTGAAGTTCCCCTAACAGCAATTCTCTCAACGCTTTCCCTGGCTTCAGAAGGAGAGGCCGTGGCGGCGCTAGTTTTCTCTACTTCTGCGTCCTACAGCTCGAACTGGAAAGGGAGAGGGGAAGACAGCGGTCCCTGGGAACGAGCTCCCTTCCCGCCCCAGAAAGGTACAGAAGCGGCCCCGGGAGAAATCCGCTGCCTCCAGTGCGGACGTAGGAGGGGGGCAGCGCTGGAGGCCTCGAGGCCAGGGTGCTGAGCTGGCGCGCACTGGAGCAGGAATGGCCAGGAAGCCGGATCTATAAGACATTAGGCTGAACTGACAGCCGGACTCCTGCTTACCTCCGTCCTTCACTGCCCTCACCTGCCCCACCGTAGGCCCAAATACTGCGGCAGCTCGCACTGCGGCCCTGCCTTCGCCAGCTCCAAGGAAAAGCCCCGTCAGCGAGAGATGCCTGGCCTGCTCTGAGCGGCCACGGCCGCGGAGCTTTCTTTGGAGCTCCTGCTGAAGCCGGCGCTCACTTACGTCGTCACCTCCTTCCGTGCCCTTCCGCCTCAGCCCCGCCTGCGCTGCGTGCTGAGGGGCGGGAATGCTAGCGATGCCCCACGCTAGGGGCGTGGCTCCGCCTTCCACTTCCTGCTGCGAGCGTGCCCCTCTCCCCCCCACCCCCCTTCCCTGGACTTCTGGCTTGTGCGCTGCGCTCGCACTGGTTGGACTTCCTTCGCGCCTCCTTCCCTACACGTTGAGGACTTGTAGAAACTGTGATCTAGGAATTCCAGAGGCTTTACAAAGTGGCTTTGATACTTCAGACCTCTCTGAAATTTTTCCTTTCAAAAGGCTAGGGTCGACCACTACTACTGTACAGCCTCTCCTCCCTCCACTAACCGCTTTTGCTAAACACCAAAAATCTCGCTCCTGCTCTGGATGCTCTGACCCAGGCTTTTCTTCTCCTGTTCTCCAGTGGTAACCTTACCCTGTGGTACCATACCAGATAAGTGGTATTGTATTGAACCACTTTATCTGTGCCCCGCCTTTCCTTAACTGAGTTTGAGAACACTTACCACGGAGGGAAGAACTTGGATATACTCACTGAAGTAGCCCTGGGAAAAAATAGTGACTGACCTACAAGTGCTAACTCTGTGCTATAAATCTCATTTTCTTTATGATTGAGAGAGGAAAGTGGCATCAGCCTGATGTGTTGAAGTACTACTCATTCAACATTTTTAAAATGTAAGCATGAAGTAGTCCTTTGTAAGCCTTCCGCCTACTTGTGGGGAAAGGGACAGTTATAATGCAACATTATGACAGCTAGAAAACATTACAGCCAATTTCTGGTGGAAAATAAACTCAATTTGGGACATATTCTGAAACATCTGATCAGATCACTAGGGAGAAGTAGAGAGGGGCTGTAGGAGGAGGTTACCTGAGGTAAACAGCCTAGGACAGGATTAGCTGAGAGGCTGAAAGCTCCACAGCGTACGGACTTATGGGCCAGAAGATTTAAAATAAAAAAAGGGCAGACACTGGCTTTTGGGCTCTCTTTCTCAAGTATGCCTGGATGATCATGCTGCAGCTGCCTGCATTTCCCAAAGGACAGTAATTTGGACGGATTTTGGATGGGAGAAGAATCTGTGGACACAACCTAGGATCGGGCTGGCCTGGTAGACGGTGGCAGAGCTATTCTTTGGGTATCCTAGTGAGGATAAGCTCTGAGGCAGAAGCCTGCCATTCTTCCAAAATTGTGTAGTTTTTGTATCTTACATTGTTTTAGTTTGTAAACTAACCCTGTAGAAATAAGGTAATTAAAAACTAACAGGGGGACCTGGCTGGTGTGACTCAGTGGGTAGAGTGCTGGCCTGTGAATCAATGGTTCGATTCCCAGTCAGGGCACATCCTGGGTTAGGGGCCAGGTCCCCAGTAGGGGGTGCTTGAGAGGCAACCACACATTGATGTTTCTTTCCCTCTCTTTCTCCCTCCCTTCCCCTCTCTTAAAAATAAATAAAGTCTTTTTAAAAACTAACAGAGGGAATGATAGAATTCAGGTGTGAAATAGAATTCAGGTAGATTTAAGTGATTAAAGCTGCAGCTAAAGAGTTAAAGATATTAGCCTTAACTGATAGGTTTAAGTGACTAATGCATGTGGAAAGCTATTATACCAAAATTGTGTACCCTTGAATTAGAACTCCTTTCCTTTATCACCAAACCTTTGTGTCCTGAATTTTGCCTAGAGGGTGACGGTGGGCAGCAGGACCCCACTTGCTGTTCAGTAACAATTCAATTATGGATAGAGAGGAGATGGATACAACAGAATACCAAGGGTTGGGTGCTAGATGTATCATCCAGGTGCAAGCGCTAAGTGTATGCATTGACTGTAGAGAAGATCAAAACAATAGTAAAACTGAATACAGTGTGTATGATTAATTATCATATGTGTCAGCAAATTCTAAGCAATGTTACTAATAAAGTACTCCTTCCCAAACAAAAGATTTCCTTAGTCTCCCTTCTAAACAATTGCTGTAGTTACTATTGAGGTTTAATATATAGTCCTGTGCTGCTTAACAACAGGGATATATTCTGTGATTTCAACAATGTGAGAACACAATAGAGTGCACTTACATAAACCTAGATGGTATAGCCTACTATACACCTAGGCTGCATAGTATAACTTAGCGCTCCATAGGGGGTGAAAAATAATTTTGACTTTACCCTTCTAAGTTCTTGGCTAAGAACATCCCTGTAATAAAGGCATATTAACAGGAAAAGATAAAATTTAATAGCGTGTGGGGAGGGGGGTGGGGAGGCCGCATACTAAACCTGACAAACTCAGGGAAGGCCTGCATGGCAAGCCTCACAAACTCAGACCTAAAGTGACCACATTAAAATTTCCTAGCTCACAACTGAGGAGACTTCCGGTCGGGATGGAGGCTAAGGTAGATATATACTGTGCCTCCTAGCACAACCAAAAGAAGGACAACGACAAACTTAAAAACAGAAACAACCAGAACTGACAGAAAATCGAACTGTATGGAAGTCTGACAACCAAGGATTTAAAGAAAAAGACATTAATCCAGAACGGTAGGAGAGGTGAAGACGGGCAGCTGGGGCAAAGAGGACTCACAGCAAGGAAGTGGCTGGTGGACCAGGCAGTCCCACATTTGTATGCAGATAAACTGAGAGGAACAACTGGGTAGCAAGACAGACCTCAAAACCCAGAGGTCCAGTAAGGAGAAATAAAGCCTCAAAACCTCTGACTGAAAAAATGCGGGGGTTGAGGCAGCAGGAGAAACTCCCAGGATCACAGGAGAGTTTGTTAGAGAGATCTACAGGGTCATAGAACATATACAAAACCACCAACCCAGGGGTTGGCATCAGAAGGACCCAATTGTCCTGGCTGATGTGGATCAGTGGATTGCGTTCTAGCCTACAAATTATGCTGGTTCAATTCCCAGTAAGAGCACATGCCTGGGTTGCCGGCCAGGTCCCCAGTTGGGGGTGTATGACAGGCAACCACACTACTTTTTCTCTCCTCTACCTCTCTTCCTCTCTCTGTAAAAATAAATAAATAAAACTTTTTTTAAAAAAGAGCCCAATTTGCTTGTGGGTATCGGGGGAAGTGACTGAAAACCAGCAAAGAACTGAGCAAGGGCCATTGTTCTCTCTCAGACCCCTCCCCCACATACAGAGCCACAACACAGCCAAGTAGGTTGTCCCACTCTGGTGAATACCAAAGAACCCTCCCCTTACTATGTAACAGGTGCTCCAAGACTTAAAAAATGGTCCAAAGGAAAGAAGAGATCAAAGCTCCAGGAAATACAACTAAGCAATGAAAAGATAGCCAACCTATCAGATGCAGAGTTCAAAACACTGGTAGTCAGGATGCTCACAGATTTTGTTAAGTATGGTCACAAAATAAAAGAAAAAGTGAAGTGAAGGCTATGAAAAGCAAAATAAAGGAAAATGTACAGAGAACCAAAAGTGATGGGAAGGAAACTAGGACTTGAATCAACTGTTTGGACCAGAAGGAAGAAATAAACGTTCAACCAGAACAGAAAGAAGAAACAAGAATTCAAAAAAATGAGGAGAGGCTTAGGAACCTCTGGGACAACTTCAAACATCCAAACATCAGAATCATAGGGGTGCCAGAAGGAGAAGAGGAAGAGCAAGAAATTGAAAACTTTTTTGAACAAATATTGAAGGAGAACTTCCCCAGTCTGGCAAAGAAAATAGACTTCCAGGAAGTTGAATAAGCTCAGAGAGTCCTAAAGAAGTTGGACCCAAGGAAGCACACACCAGTGAACATCATAATTAAGTTACCCAAGATTAAAGATAAGGAGAGAATCTTAAAAGTAGCAAGAGAGAAGGAGACAGTTACCTACAAAGAGTGCTCATAAGACTATCAGCTGATTTCTCAAAAAAATAAAAATAAAAAATAAAAAATAAACATTGCAGGCAAGAAGGGGCTGGAAGGAAGTGTTCCAAGTCATGAAAGACAAGGACCTACATCCAAGATTACTCTATCCAGCAAAGCTATCATTTAGAATGGAAGGGCAGATAAAGTGCTTCCCAGATATGGTCAAGTTAAAGGAGTTCATCATCACCAAGCCCTTATTATATGAAATGTTAAAGGGACTTATCTAAGAAATGGATGATCAAAAATATGAACAGTAAAATGACAACAAACTCACAACTGTAAACAACTGAACCTAAAAATAAAAAAGCAAACAACAAGAACAGGAACAGAACCACAGAAATGGAGATCATATGGAGGGTTATCAGCAGGAAAGGGAAGGGGAGAATGGGTGAAAGGTACAGGGAATAAGTAGCATAAGTTGTAGGTAGAAAATAGGGGAAGGTTATGAATAGTATAGGAAATGGTAGGTTATGAATAGTATAGGAAATAGTATAAGCCAAAGAACTTATATGTACAACCCATGGACATGAACTAAAGGATTGGGGGGAATGTGAGTAGGCGGAGTTGTGTAGGGTGGAGGGGAATAAAGGGGGGAAATAGGACAACTGTAATAGCATAATAAATAAAAAAATATATTTTTAAAAACTCCAAAAAAATTTCCCTAGCTCAAAGCACGTCATGCCAGGGAGTCATGTCCTAGGCCTGTATCTTCTTTGACAAAGTCAATCTTTAATGGGGCCTGTCTATTGTCTTTTTGCATCTCCTATAACATACGTGTTGAATGTCAGAGTAATCCCTGTTTGCCAGACCCCTCAGGGCACAGTCTCCACTAGAACACAAAACACAGAACCCCTCATTGTTCTCTTGTTCCCCAAATACCATCTCCATGTGTGTAAATATTAATTGCTAACTATCCTATACCCATCAATGTAAAAGAATTATGTGTCTATCCCGTTTTAATCCAATCTCCAGGATTTCCCCACTTTGCTTTTTCCTATCTCTCTAATCTATCACTAATGGATTTCACGTAACCCCCTTGACTTTCCCTTTGATTCTGATATACAAAATAAGTGGTGAAACTGCCCTTGCCAGAGTGGCTCAGTTTGTTTGG